GCCACCGGCGGTGACGGCGGTGGCCGCCTTGACGACCTGGGTGGAGCGGCTTTGTTGGTGTGGGTCATTTTGGTAAGAGAAGAAGGGTCGTTGATTTTGGTGTTGGTAGTGAAGCTCAGCCATGGAGATTGATGGGAATGAATGAAGAAGTGAATTAGGGTTAGGGTTTGAGGGAGGTATAAATGGGGAAGTGGGGGAGTGGTGGCAGCACCTGAGGGTGTTGTGTGGCACGTGTTCAAAGCTTTCCATGCAAGGCTTGCATGCACATTTGTGTCTGCGTTTCGTGACACGATACCTATTTTTCTGCCTCCATGTGTTTTGGACCAAAGATACGAGGCCACCATGTGTAACTACATTAACTCATTACTCATGCATGTCTTTTCGTAACACCAAACAAAATGTTTTAATATGCATAATGTGTGTAGTTCAATTGTAGGTTTCCATTTTTTTAACTGTAATTTAACTTTTTCTTGCAAAATCCTCGAACTAATTAATTACTTTGTTTATCAAATGAATTTTATATTTCAAATACTACTTCAAAAGGGTGAAGCCAAATCAAACGGAATTTATTGGAGGTAGACAGGAAATGGATGGAGTCATATGGAGATCATAAGCCAATGGAAATACAGTATATTTTAGTACTCACAAACAAAAATACTAAATTAATTTCATCCTCACGCTGCACGACAACCAGACAACTAAGAATAATTGTCTACGTATTAAGTTTTATTATAATATCAAAATTTTAAAATAAATGAATTACTAAGCATATGTGCTTATTATCTAGATTCAGTAGTTTAATCAGTGTTTTTGCTTAATCTCAAAATCTTATATTTGAATCTTAAATTTGATTAAAAAATAATTTTAATAAATATTTTTAGGGTTTAATAAAAATGTTAGATTTAAGTTTTTAAAAGAATCTATTTATTTAAAAAAGTTGAAATTTACAAAAAAAAGTTTGATAGACCAATTTATTTATGTATGATACGATAATAAAAATAATATATATATATATAATAATATTATTAATATAATTAAATAAATAAATTTATAATATAAAAATTTAAATTATTAATATCTTTTTACATTTTTATTACATTCAAATGTTTTACATTCTTTGTTCGTACAAAATTTAGAATTTAGGATTTATATCTTTGTTTATCTTTTTTTTTCCCTATTTTCATGATTGATAATTTAGAATACTTTAAATGTGATATAAGAAATATTTATAATTTTTTAATAAGATAATATTCTACATTACAGTTTGCGCATGAGTTTACACTAATGTAAATGGATATGTATGAGTTGTCTCTCAATTAGTTTTATATTTTTTATTTTAAATTCTAAATTTTAATAACAATAGAATAAACTAATGTTTTATTATATAAATTAAAAAAGACTTATCATGTAAATAAAACCAAGGCTTGCATATGTATTTAAAAATATAATTGTTGACTTATTTAAAATTTTAAAAAATAGTATCTCCAATTATATAAAAATTATAATATATAATATATATATATATATATATTATAAAAATGGCAATTATAAATCAAGGTCATCCAAATTTTATAAAAATGTTTACATTGAACTTCGATTAATTAGTGATTACATAATCATTGAAAAATTATGCGTAATTTTTCTTTTAATTTAACTAATTAATATATTTATTTGATATGTTTATTCAAATATACTAAAATTCAAAAGCTAAGAGCGGAAACTTATACTGGCAGGATGGAAAAACATTCGTGTAGGATGTGACCAACACTGCTCGTTTCATTATGAAATAGGAGATATTAGAAATATTATTACGTATAATTATTATGTTATTTGAGTGATACGTATAATTATTATAGTATTTATAAAATTATTAATTGATTATGTTATGATCATGGTATTAATTTTCTTTCTTTTAATTTTGATATAAAATCGTTAAATGATTACTGTCGATTGGCTGTAAATTGTAAGTTTTTAATTATTATTTTTTAGCAATAATTATTTATTTATATGGTATTTTATATGTGTTGTAAGACTCTCAAGAGTTGGGTTAGTTTTGATGATCTTTAGTCAAAAGTCCAATTGACCTGAAAGAGAGGTAATATATAAGGTTTCTTCTAAAAACTAAGCCTCATAAATTCAATTTCTTAAAGACCTTAAAAAGAAAGTAGAGTGAGAAGCATAAAAATTCTAAAACTTCTACTTCTTCCTTTTAAATCTCTTGAAGGCGTGAGAGATTCCTTTGATTCTCAGTATGGTGAGCCAAAACATTCAGAGATTGAGAATCTAAGTTGGGTGGTTGCATGCGGAACTTGTGGAAGCTCGGAAGTTCATCTTCTCCTTCCTGCTTCATATTATTGCTTGGAATTAGGTAAGTGAAGCTAGGCTTGACACTTGCTGAATTGTTGGATTGTATGTGCTTAGATTTCTTTGAATTCTTGGTTGTTTGACAAATTTGAAGTGAAATTTTGGTGCATGTTGAGCTTTTGGTGTTTTGAGTTTATGGGGTGAATTTGGTGAGTGATGCAAGTTGAGTTGCATGTGTTATTTGAACCTGGAATTGAGTTGTGAATGATAAGTAGAAGTTGTTAGATGCATTGCATGCTTGGTTCTTCTGAATTTTAGGTCTTAGGGTGCAATCTTTGTGATCTACAAGTATAGGTTTCTAATGTTGTGTCAGACACACCTTCATGGCACCAAATGTAGTTCCAACCATAGGTTTCTATATCGTTCACCGCGTGTAGGATTGATGGTGTTAGGTATGAGTAGATAGATTTGTCTCGGGTTGGAATGACGTCAAACGTGATTTGAATATGTCAAGCGTGAGAACACTGGAAAGTTTTTGACTTGGTGATACTGGGTCCCAATTGGATGGCGCCAAGCGTGATCAAGGAAAAGGCTTTTTGCCTAAACAATTTTAGGTGCCAGTAAGGTGACATCGAGTGAGTCAAGTAGAGGCTCTTTACTTGATATGAGGCTAGGCGTGGATTTTTCCTAGTTAGGTGTGAAGTCTCAAGGGTTCCCTACCTCAGTCACCCCAGGCACGGATTAAGTGGTGTCGAACGTGGGCGAGACAGAAAGCTCCTTGTCTTAGTGGTGTCGAGCGCGAGGTAAGTTGCGTTAGATGCAAGTTGTTTTGATGATACATGTTTGATGGGTGAATTGGTGAACATGAATAAAGTATGTGAATTTATTATATGTTGTATGATGTATGAGGATGATGAGCATTAATATGCTATGTATGATTGGTATGTTATAGTTGCATGATTGAGATGTTGAATAAGCATTGGCATGTGATACTTATGTAGTTGAAACGGTGATGAGCATTGATATGTTATAAATTGCATTCTTGGAGTGTGAATAAGCATTGGTATGCTATTATTGAATAAGCATTGAACATTGGTATGCTAGTCTTGGATGAGTTGTATAGCATTGGTATGCTAGTTATAATTGGTGTGAATTGATCTCTATGTGCATTGACTTGGGATAATATATATAGATAATATATGTTGAGACGTTGATGCTGAGAATGTTGTAGGCATTAAAGCATGATGATTGACTTCGGATTAAAGGAAAGGGTATTGCTTGAAAGCTATAATCTTGTTTTGATGCTTTGAGAGGCTAATTGTTGAAAACCCTATTTGAGTAGATGTGAATTTCTTGGAGTGACTTTGTTGAGTGTCCTCTAAGTCCTTAATCAATGTGGAGTAAAATATGAAGTCAAGGGCTACAATCCTTAATTGATTATTGGAAAGGTTGTGTTGTTTCTTGCGGATAATTAGTAGACTAATTCTATATGTGACTTGATAATGCGTGCTAAGGTTGTGGTATGCTGATACCCAACTATATTAGTCTTAACTGTGAAATCAGAATCTCCTAACATAAGTGGTGACACTTGATAAATCAGAGGTAGGGATTGATATCCCATTTTAGCTATTGATCCAACAAATGCATTGAATAAGAAAGTGATTAGGTTGGTTCTGTAGGGTCAAGTCACATAGAATACTCATGTATGCTAGGAGATATTCATAGGTAAAATGCATAACAACACATTAGTGAGGTGTATGCATATGATGTGTTGTTGATTGGTGTGTTTATATGCATTAGTTAGATATCTTATTGTATGATATTTACTTAGTGTGAGTTTGACTGCTTAGTGTGTAGCTTTCAAACTGGTTGCTATTTTAAGGATTGTTGTTATGGATGACAATGGGGCAGGACAAATATAGGTTTCCCTATACCTGTCCCCGTCCTTATTACTGTACCCTATACCCATCCTCATCCCCATATTTAACTAGTATGAAATATGTGTCCTCATCTTTGTACTCGTCAAATATTAGGTATACTTGTATCTATCCCCTACCTGTCCAAAAATTAATTAAATACTATTTTTTTGCAATAATATATAAAAAATAAGAACTTCAACATAAAATAATAGTTAAAAAATTACATTATTTAAACTTTATTTGACATAAATTAAACAATAAAATAAGAAATTACATAAATATTAAGTAAATTCTAAAAAAAATAATTTAAATATTTATAAATTTTAAGTGAATATAGATACGGGTACGAGGTAGGTATGCACATATCCATCTCCATCCTCGTACGCTATATAATAAATTGGGTATTACCTATACCCGTACTCATGTCCAATCAAATCAGGTATTCCCCATTAAAGTCGTTGCAAGTTCGTGCATTACCCATAGATACGAGTTTACATGCCATCCTTAATTGTTGTATGATGTGAGCCTTGTGTTGTTGGTTTGAATGTTTACATGTAGGTGGGTAGTATAGATGTTTTTATTCCTATACTTGCTTGATTCTTTTGAAATCTAGCTTACCCTTACTTTTGTTCCATGTGGTGTGACTGCGATGATCATATTTGATATGAGAGTAGACTAAAGATGAATTACAAAGGATTGTAGTAGAGGTCATTAGGTGGATGGTGATGTTATTGGATATTTTGAGCTACTCCCTTTTATGGGAGTTGTATAGTAGTGCTTGACAAACACTTAGGGTCGTAGTTTACTTTTTTGGATTACTATATATATATATATATAT